TATATATATATATATATATATATATATATATATAATATGTATTTATTAGAGAACATTAAGATAAAATTTACTCTTTTTAAAGGGTGTAAAATCATGGCATCCTACATTAGGTGCTGGACATGTCATCCACAGATTAGTTATGCATTCTGCCAGGCTCATCATCTTGACAAAAAGTATTACATATATGCTTTAAGAAGTTTATTGCAAATAAAACTTTCTCTGGTAAAGCTGTAGTGCTCTCCCAGAGGTAGGCGCATTGATCTGTCAATTTATTAGATTGATAAAAAAAAATATATATATATACTGTATATATCAACCACAGCCTTTCTTATTAAACCTGTTAAAATGCAGCTACTTGTAGACAAAACAGTTTTGTCACACATGAAAATGTATTTACAAAGGAAAATAGTAAATAGGAAAATAGTAAATATACTGAATATATTTACAGTAGTAGTTTTTCAGACAAAAATATCAAAAAAACATTTGCTTAGAGTGCATTTATAATCAGCCTCTAATGACTTTTAGTACAGCTAAAGCCCTATTCGCACGGGATTAGTTTTACCTAGGGACCACATGTAATAAATAAATTACTCCCCAACGCCTGCTTTTTATGTGGCGCTTTCGCATAGGATAACCAAAGCCTGAGATTTAGCTGAAATTTACAGACATTTTCCAGATATGATGTTAATCAGCTGCAAGTCGCATTAAGCTCAGATGGACAGCTGTCACCAGCCACGTGCGTCCGCTGACCCGCCAGTTGAAATGGACTTGCGACCTGTCCAGGGTATCCCCTGCTACCAGAAAATGAAGAAGCGGGTAAATATAATGGATGGATAGATGGATGGATCAGATGATCACCGGCTGGGCATGTCTCCACACCTGCCGTCATCTGCAGTGAAGGAAGTAGCAGCATCTACCAAAGCCCAAGCGAGCAGCACGTTCGTTTAAAATAGCCTTGTTCTATACTTTTACAAATTATTTTGCTTAGAAAACTAAAACAAAAACCGCCTCATTACGTATCGGATCCCGCCCATTCCTGTCCAAATCACAGAGATGCCTATTCACATTGGATTAGTATTATCACAGGACCTCAGAGTTCAGCAATTTGCGGGGGAATTTTTACTTTACAAATTACTGAGCTGTGCGATTTGCACGGGATTAACAACACAGACAATCTCCGTAATTATTACAAGTAGCATGTGGTCCCTAGGTAAAACTAATCCCGTGCGAATAGGGCCTAAGACTGATCTGCATGGAGCCCCAGGGCTAGTTCACTAACACAGGCAGCCACTATTCTTTTAAAATCTAGTATTTTTTAAATGTTTATTATAATATGTTTTATTTATGGTCATAAACAAACAAGTTGGTTTCCTAAACTGACCGTTGGATTCCCAGATTGTCATGAACACTGACCATTAAAACCAAGGGCGTCACAAGCATCCGTAATGTGGGGGGGACACAATGAATGTATGTAGGTGTGTGTGTGTGCGCGCGCACATATGTGTGCACACGTTAAAAAAAGGTGTACACTAGTGAACAAAAAGCAACATTTCACCTAGATTTCCTTTAATTCCACACATTTAAAACATGTTTCTCACCAAGTTTGTGTAAATTCAACTGTGGGTTTTAAAGACATTTTAACTTTAATACAGAGCCTCAGATCTGCACTATTTGTGTTTATAGAGAAATAAAAAACATCACTGGACATTTTTTACTTGTGTTCAACACTCATGTAAATGATGTTTCTCATGACACATGAGGACAATAAGGTGTGGGTTTTTAAAGACACTTCAACTTTAATGCACCTGAACACACAGCGTCTCTTACACCTGCAGCGTCTGACAGCGTCACAGTTACTGCTAAGCTAAGATGCTACAGACGTAGCTCCTCTCAAGCATCCTCCTAACATGAATATATATTTATGATCAACCCACTGGTCAACAACTGCCCACACTAAGCTGCTAAACTGGCGAGCGAGTAACTCAGGTACCTCCACCTCCTCCACCTGTGCGCGTTTTCTGCCGAGGCAAGAGGCAGGAAGGGACAGTGGAGAGTTGGAGGTAACCAGGAAAACCTGGAGTGGAGTTTTAGTGTCGTGAGTATTCTATTAATCAAGTGAAATGGATTCGTTCACGAAGAAAGAGAAACTGCACCGCCTGAACTCATGTTTTATAGTAAAAGTGGGGGGGGGGTCCAAATGAATGTTTTTTTTAATGTGGGGGGGACTTGTCCCCTTCACATATAATGGTTGTGACACCTATGATTAAAACCCATAACTGGTCAACCTCTACATTCTATCAATGTTTGGTCTAAACGTATATTGATTTTGAAAGAAGCCCTAATGTGCCATCATTTTGTCTCTTGCAGTTTGCAGCCCGAGCATTGACATCCGAAATGACATCAGTGAATTAAAACGGCTCGAGAACTGCACGGTGGTGGAAGGCTACCTACAGATCCTCTTAATCAACAAGAAAACGAGCAACATCAACCAGGAGGTCCTCCGCTCCCTCAGCTTCCCAAAGCTGACCGTCATCACCGACTACCTCTTCTTGTTTCGCGTCTCGGGCCTGGACACCCTTAGCATTCTCTTCCCCAACCTGAGTGTCATACGTGGGCAAAATCTTTTCTACGACTATGCCTTGGTGATCTATGAGATGACCAGCCTGAAGGACATAGGCCTGTACAACCTGAGGAACATCACCCGTGGAGCCGTGCGGATTGAAAAGAACCCAGAGCTCTGCTACCTGGACTCTGTGGACTGGTCTCTGATTATGGACGCTGAGGTAAATAATGTTTTGAATGGAAACAAGAAGGCAAAGGAGTGTGACAATGTCTGCCCGGGCATCATGGAGGATAACCCTCTCTGTCAGAGGACGTCGATCAATGACAATAACGACTACCGCTGCTGGACATCAAAACAGTGCCAGAAAGGTAACGAGAATTCTCTTCTGTCTAAACCTCAAACCCTGACTCAAGGTCAAATGTTGGGTTTGTAACATAACGTTTGACCATTACTTTGGAAAACAAGTACAGTAAATATGGACGTTACATTGATTTAAAATCCTGGTTTAGTCTTACAAACATTATGAAATAGTTACCAGAGAGCAAATTCCTCGAACACATGTTGTCTTGTTGTTTTTTAACCTTAATTTCCGTCAGGCTGCGGGATTGCCCATGGGCCGGTTCAAACCTTTCCTCTCTGTTTATCACAGAGACCTTGTCTTTAGACCGGCCTATTTGTGGAGTGAAAGATGGCCACAGTACACAGCACCGGGTATTAGAGAGACATGCAAAGTTGAGGTTAAAGGAGCTCTGCCAAGGAATGAGGTAGTCTAGCAGTCTGGACCCTGTCGGCTAAATATTTGCCAGGGGGACATTTTGCAACTCAAGATAAAAAGGGTGTGAATTGAAAACTCTGGAGGACGGTCGTCCTTGTTTAACTTTGGCCGAGTTAAGGATTGTGAACTTTGTTTTGGATCTGCATTACTCTGACCCCTTTGTGGTGGGTTTTTTCTCTGCCCTTTCACCCAATACGTACGACTTTTTTATTGTTTCTGTTTTGTTGAGCTCGTTAGCAGATGTGTGACATGTTGGTGACATTGTAAGGTTTGGCAGTGAACCTTATTTGGAGTCAAAACAGTCCGATTGTACCATAACTCCCAGATAAAGAGGCATTTTGTGGTGAAAACACTGAAGTAAGATTATGCTCTGTTGAGTCTTCTTTGTTCTCTCATCTATGTGAAATAATTGTGGGAACTTCGTCCCAGTTATCCCTTTTCCTTTTTAATTTTTTTTTCTTAAGCTTTGTGCAGATCTCATGGTTATTTCAGATTCACAAATAAACTCAGTCTTTCATGGGAACCTGCAGAACAAATAGTGGAAATCAAGCCTGCGTCTTTTTCCCTTGTGACCGTATTTTACTTTGTAGAAAAGCTATGGTGTTTATTGTTTGTCTGTGTTTGTCCTCGGCCGCAGTAATCCGCTGGAGTTTCCTGTATCAGCTGCTTGATTTACAAACAATAAGGGGTAAAAATGACGGGAAATATTGGAACGCCTTTGGGGGGGGGGAAAGAGAATTTGACCAAAAAAATATGTGTTTTTGTGTGTTTCTGAAAAAGCAACATTGTAAGAAGAACTTAGGAAGAGAACCTTTCAGTCCTGTGTGTACTTCTTGCGGTGTGGTGATGTTTTCTGTGGTGAAACGCTCTGTTGTCACACAGCAGATGAGAGCGGGAGGATTGTTTAGATCAGTTTGCCTCTCTCGGAGGCCCAGGTCGAGGTCAGGTAAACACATTCATCTGGAGGGCCTTGAGGTCTCAAAAAGGCAGATAAAGGTTTCAAAAACTACAAGTTGTTTAAAAAGTATCAGAGGTGGGTGTGGGGGAAAGAGCGCTAAAGACAGAATGAAGCTGAAGCAGGCTGTCTTAATGTGTCCAATTTTCCACCTGTCTTTTATTTAAGGCTTGATGTGTCCTTCTTTAGAGTCCTCCTCTCCTCACGCTACCCCCTTTTGCATAATTGCCTTGTTTTTCCTCCAGTACAGATGTTCCTTCAAGGGCATGCAGTGGTTTTCTAGTCAATACAGCCTGGTCTCCTCTTTAATTACACTACATGAGGAGGAGTGCTGTCTGCAAGCTAACTACTTTAGCCTCTGGGCCTTTTTTCCTTCCACATTTTTGTCCAGTCTTCAGATGTTAGTCCCCACAACAGGTTAGGTTGTGTAACATCAGTCCTCTCAGAGGATATTGCTATAAAGATGAAGCAGGGCAGGAATTTCCCCGTTTAATGCTGCACTTGTGACTGAATGGAAGCAAGTGGGAGACAGAGATTGGAGCAGAGGCAGGCAGTGATGTGGAGAGAGGCCTATACTGAGACACAGGAGGACGGGCACTGTGGGGAAATGTCAGACAAATGTCAAACGTACAGGCTCAGCAGCAGGCTCTTGGTGAAGGGAAGAGCTCTGAAACATCTCTCCCCTTGTTTTTCTTCCCCTGTGGTTCCCTCGTACAACCCCACGTTGTTGCTCTCCTCACTTTGTACATTTTGTATGTTCATTTTCTTTCGCACTGGCACGCTCCGCTTCACTTAGCCTCATCTCTGATTGTCCTTGTCAGTTGTTCTGCTGGTGTTTCCTGCTCCATTTTCACCTCGCTCTTTCCTGCAGGGCTTATCAAGGGCTGTTAACGGCCTCTGCTGTCAGATATCTCCACTATTTACTCGTCGGAGACATTCTCCGTCTGAAGCGAGCGCCTTGTTTGACCAGGCCCCTGGATCCTTTAGCATTATTCGCTGGACTGAAAGGTGTCTGGCTTGGCTCAAACAGCCTCCTCTGGTCTGAGTTTTCCACAGATGGCTCATCTTCTGCTGATGGACACGGGCCAAAACCAGATTGACAAAAGCCTGATACAATTAGTCAGATGAGCAGAAAGCTCGCTGCCGTACAAATGCCCCCATCTCTGGCCATGTCAGTCTCTAAATCTCCACAGGGAGGCACACATTCTTTTAGGTGCACGTTCTCACAGAACTCACGTTTCTTCACGTTTCTTCTTGAGGTGATCAAATATTAACTTATGGTGTGCTGAGCCTCTGGACTCTGCTGCCTCTGTCTGATTCACAGGAAGACGACGTCTGTCGAAGGCATTTATTAAGTCCAGGTTTAGGTGGGTTTTTTTAAATAGACAAATCAAAAATAAAACTGCAGCTGCTTTTCAAAACAATTAAAAGTCGGAGAAATGAAAGAGAACACAGGTGACTGGGTTGAACTGGTTGAATGAGTTGACTGGTTTGCATTTTAGAGCTCAAACGATGACGAGAAGCAGTTGGATAAAAGTTTTAACATAAAAGAAACTGATACCGTAATCTGAACTCAGACTGAACTCTGAGGAAGATCAGCAGCACGAAACCAGTCTGGAGCCATGGCACTTAGCTCTCCACCAAACTGGGCGACTTTAATTATTTTTCTTAGTCATACTGGTTTTAAATGGATCATGCTTTCCTTCATCTTTAATCTTCAAGGAGAGCTTCTTTAATTTAACATGAAATGACACACACTTTAACGCTTCTTCTTAACTCAACAATAAAATAACTTGTTCACATTTCAGACTAGTTTCATACAAGTTTTCAGTTTGACCTGCTGCATTTTACTGAACCTGTGTGAAACACGGTGTACTAAAAATACCCAACAGGCTAGCTTGGCTTTTAGATTGTCTCTTGAACAGGTGACATTTTAACCTAAACCATTCTGATTATTTGTTATCCAAACTGCTGAGAAGTTATCACATCCTGACACATTTATTGTCAAAGATTTAAACATTTTTAGTCATTCCACAGCCTGACATTTAGATATAATTTAGAAGGAAAAAACCCCCAAACCAAATCTTTGAGTATATAAATCTTTAGATACATACAAGGATATCTGTATTATTGCAGGAGATAAATATCGCGGCACAGTCAGTTTGTATTTTAAGACATTTCAGCCTCGTGCTCATCTCAAACGGCCTTTATGTCTTTAAAACAGAATCAAAGTTGGTTACATGAAGCATGTGGTTATCTCTGTTTAGCACTAAACAACACAAGAATGAGCGCTTCTTTTAATCTGCTGTTGCATCTCTTTTCGGGCAATGTAGAAAAAGCCGTGTGTTTTTATAAATCTCTTATTGGCTTCTTAAAAAAAACACTTTTCTTCTTTGCGTGAGGAGAACCTGCAACTACAGACTAAGATCAATAATAAAGATTTACCAGGTTGCTGTTTTTTTTTCTGTTTTGTTGCTCCATTAGTTCATAAGCTGTGAAAAAAAAAACTATAAATAAAAAAACTAATAAAAATAAGAGAGCCTGGAGTGTGCTGATATTTATTATTAATTATTTCATGTGTTGTATTGCACATGATAAAGACCCGGCAGTCCAGTTGGTGCGTTCTGTTAATGATTTGTGAACTGTTTCATGTTGAAATAGGTCAAAACATCGAGGTTTGCTCCTATAAATGATTATTAAGAAGCTTAAAATGTATCTCATGATTAATGCGTGGAAAAGTTCAAAACATGGTAACGAGTTGAAACTATATTTTTTTCATTTCAAGTTTCGCTTTGCTCGGCCTCCTAAACCCCAATGCCATTTCCTTTAATAAAAAAAAGTACATTTTAAAAGATTACAAGAAAATATAACTTTTTTTTTCTTCTCTCCCAAATTGATTTCTGACAGTTATTGTATATTAAACATCCTGTTCTTGAGATATATTCAATAAGAAACAAGTTGCAGAGAAATAATGTTCACTTTGTACTTGCTGAACACTGGATTGAAATTTACATACAAAGCATGCGTGCTATGTTGGATAACATGTCTCGGCCCCTTTAAGCATATAAGGCATAAATTCCTGCTGGCTTACTCATTGCACGTGTGAGGGGATAAAGAGGGGGAAATGCGGCGCGCAGGCTGTGTATGTGCACGGCCATACAGAGAGCGTTTGTGTCTTATTTTGCCATTAGGAGTTAAACGGATTGATGTGTGGTCCGCTCATTGTTTGTCTGGGGTTGTTGTTGTGCTCCGGGTGGGCCGGGTTCACAGATAGAAGGAAGCTTTTAAATATTTAATGGACTTTCTGGAGCTTATCAAAGTCCTGTGGTTGCAGGGACAGGAAACAGAAAAGAGCTCAGATTCCAGACTTGATGCTACGGTGCTTTCCTGGGGGCACATTCAGCGCCATGACTCAGTGCCCACACATCCACTGTTCCTAGTTCCTACTGGGAACAAACTGCTTTGCCTGAGCTTTGATCTGTTTTTCCAAAACCAAAGCAGTGTTCGCGTTGATCAAACTCTTTCCCCTCCTGCGCTGAGTCATCTACCAGACAAAAACAGCCGAACGATCACAGCCACGTTTTATCCTCCTGCTTCCTGGATCATCACAGCTTTGTGGGAAAACAGGAGCTGGACCC